ACCGAAGAGGAAAAAAAAATGAAAATATGAAGCATCGAAATAAAACTTTTCATCTTCGGCATCTTCTTTCACGTATATCTCAGTGTCTTGATTTCATTTGCAGTAAATTCGGCGTGGCTCATGCAAAACCAATTTCCCCATTGAATCGACACAGAGAGCGAGAGAGTCTTTGATGTATTCTATATATGCATTTAAGTACTGCTTGTCTATTCCCAAAACTTTATTTACCGCATTTTGCCCGCGTCTCCCATAATCAGCGAACATGCACGGGGAAAAAAATGCAAAATTAAATACAAACACATTTTTTTCTCTTCATATCTTCTGTTCAACACAAACGGATTTGCTTCTATTTGCTGTGGTTTTTTATTATATTTACGTGAGCATCACCACCTCTCCTCTGGCAGGCTGTCGTAAAATTTTCGATGATTAAATTATGTGCCTGTACGTTCACTTGTTTTATTTGTACGCCGCCTCGTTTTTATCGTGTATGCATGCATCGAACAAGAAAAAAACACGACATTTGGTTTTCGGCTAAATTTCCTTTTTACCCGAGTCGCAAGCGAGCGAGCGCATTTTATGCAAAAACTTTCATTCGGACAAGACAGAAAGGAAAGTACTTTCGCGAGTGGAATAACTTGGCGGTTGGCAGACGATACACTGTCTGCATCCGTTTTTGATGGATTATCAATGGCGAGTGATTCGACGAACCAACTAAGCTCGCGGCATGCAGTCTTTTTAATCGGCTGTTCTTTTTTCTGTTCGCTAAAAATTAGGCACACAGACAACACAAATGGAAAACTTTTTTTTGATGAATTTCTGAGGCCTACCGAATATCGGCCTCGTTGCTTCGTTATTGTTCGACAGACATCAACACGTTCAAAATTTGGTACACGCCAAAAATAAAACCGCTCATTAAAATCAGCCTAAATTAACAAGTTCTAATTGATATTCGACCATTTGTTATTGGGTTCACCGCTAAAATTCTCATTTTAATATCACTTTCATTAAGGATGCCATTTCAACACGACTAATAATTATCACACCGATATTAATGGATGCGAATTTTTCACCCGCTTTGTCAATGAATCGGCAAAATTAAACATTTGAACTACACTAATTATAATTTATCTCTCGTGTCACGTGCTTTTTTAGCAATTGCAATTGTTCAATATTCTTAATTGAAGCATATTTCGATTTTCCACCTTGACATTTCGAACATGGAATTTCCATTGGCGAAAATAAAAGAATTCGCGTCATATTCATTCGATGAAATCGTGTTCAAAGTTTAATGAGTGAAACGAAAGTCATGAAACCGCATACATTCAAATAAATTGAAAACGTGTGTGGGAAAGGGAATTTGACTGAAATTCGGTGGTTCAGGTTTTAAAATGGAAAATGTTCCTTCTTGCACAATATTCACAATCGTGTTCAATCAGAATGTAGAAAATGTATTAGAAAAACATTTCACCAGATCAAAGGAGATCAAATGCATGCCGATTTTGTTGGTCTGGACAAACGAATTGTGATGGAAAGCCACACACACACACACACACACACACACACACACACACACACACACAC